ACCCAACATGGGGTTTGAACTTACAACCCTGAGATTGGGAGTCACATGTGCTATCTACCACTGAGCCAGTCAGGCTCACTGTGGAAAAGCAAAGGAAGGAGATAAACAGAAAGGAAAAACTCTCCCTTCGTGATAGCACTGCTTCTCTTCCCAAGAATGTTCCCCACCATGAAATCACATGGTGTCCAGATTCAGGGGACCGCAGAGCACAGGACGGGAATGCAGACTCTAGAGCAGATGGCTCATGTCCAAACCCCTGCTCAGCCACTGCTGTGTTTGTTCTTTAACCCCCATGCCTGAGTGTCCTCACTTGTAAAATGGGGCCGAAAAAATAGAACCTGCCTCTTGGCCTCTTCAGGAGTGGTAATTGAGTTAGAACGATGCCTGGTGCATAATAAGTGCTATGTAAGTGTTGGTTATTCTTATCTGTATATGTATTTGCTTCTATTAACTTTAAAAAAAAAAACATAAATGGTCCCATTCTGTACCTACCATTTGGAAACTTTTTCTGGCATTTAACTGTGTATGTGAGACTTCATTCCTTATAGCACTTACAGATCACCTTTGTTTTTTCTCTTTTTCCTTAAGCCTCTGACACTGTGGCCTGGTTTGGGGGTCCATCTCCTGAACCAAGGCACTTTCTGCCTTGCTGCCTTTTCCTGGGAGCCCTCCCCTTGCTTTGGCGCTCTGAGGGCAGCCTCCTCACCTCTGTTGTTCTCCCCCAGTTCCAGAGAGGATCAGCACAACCACCCTGGACAGAGACTCCAAGAGGCAGGGCTACGAGAGTGCTCTGGGGAGTTTTAAGGAGGAGATTGCTCAGATTGGGATGGTAAGACTCCTCCCTCTCTCCCCTTCTGTTCTGGGGCCATTCTCAAGGCAGGCTTGTCACTGCACCCACCCTCCCTTCCCGCCCAGCTCAGAGGCCCTGAGTGGCTCACCAGTGGTGTGGATGAAATCAGAGTAGCCAGCTTGAGTGGCTCGTGATGAGTGCTCGTTATGAGCACAGCTCTCTAAGTCGGCTACCACTGTTTCTCCCACTTTACAGTTTAGGCTCGCAAAGTCTTGCCTGATTTGGCACATAAGGGGCCAGCTGGGAACTGGACTCCAGGGCTGATGCCAAAGCCCAGCCCATGATCTCCCTACGCAGTCCTACTAATGAGGGCCCAAAGGGCCTGGCCCTCTGGCTTCCCACCCCTCATGCTATCTGGCCTTTTGGTACCACCCTCACTTGGCTCTCTGTTCCTCTCCAGAGACATTCCATCTCTAACCACCCTGGTCCCCAGAATATTCCCTAAATGAGGCCCTTCTTTGCCCTTCTTCTCTGAGCCCTGGACTGCACTCACCACTCTCTCCCCATGTCTTCTCTGACTTCTGTCATTCCCTTGGATTCATGCAGCTGGCTCTGTACCCAAAGCACCAAGAAGCTCCCCCAGCCAGTTGTTGCTTTACTCATCTGTCCCAACTGTATATGAGCCCTACTTTTGTCCATGACTCTGTGGCTTTGGTCATACAACATAACCATGCCTCAGTTTCCTTATCTGAAGTAAACTTGGAATCCTTTCACTGGCCACTTCTTTAATGGATGTTTGTTGAGCCCCAACCATGGGCCACGCCTGATGTCAGTACCTACTTCACAGGCTGTGGTGAGGACCAAGTGAGTCTGAGGACAAGGGCTTAGCCTAGAGCAGAGTGTCCAGCACATGGCACATGCCCAGATAAATGGTGCCTGCCCTTGTGCTCTGGCTGTGAATAGTAAATCCTAGCTCCTTAGGTCTAGGTAATGATTATTAGTTTTGAGGCAGGACCACAGCTAGCACTTTCCCACCACAGGGCAGAGAATTGGGGAAAGGGACGGGCTCCCCCTGCCCTGGTGGTGTTGAGACCACAGGCATTGCCCTACTGGCCTGTTGTAGGAAATGGAACCTCTCATCTTAGAGCCAGGAGCACTTCTTTTAAAAAAGCTGGCGGCGTCTGATGAGGAAATCGACCAACTCTTCAAAAAGGTGGAAAGCGATATCAACCTCGAAGACTACACCATCCAAGTAGGGCTTCCCTGTGGCTGGGCTTGCCCCACCAGGGTCCCACTCCTTCCCTCCCTGCCATCTGTCCTCCCAGCCTGACCCCAGCTTCTTGGTATAGACCCTGATGGAGCTGTGGGATCAGGTGGCTGAGAAGTTCCAGTTCCAGAAGCAGGGGATTAAGGAGCTGGATGAGACACTGACCTCGACCGAGTTCTCTCGGGCAGATAAAGTGAGTTGGCCTGCGAATGGGCTCTTGGTGATTTTCACCTGTGGGGTTTGTGAGGCATCGTCTCTTTGCTTGCAGGTCTCCAGGAAAAGAAAGTCATTAACAATGACACCTTGTTGTTTCTAGCTCAGAAGCGTGTTGAAGAAATATGTGGAAATCATAGAGAAAACTTCCTATCTCATGCAGCCTGACGTGTACACGCTGATAAATAAGGAAGCCATGGTGAGTGGTTTTCATGTGCAGGGGATCAGCCCACAGAAGGGGCGGGACCTGAGGATGCCCCAGAACCTGGTGTCTCAGGACCGATGGGCTTCTCATGTGTCACATTTCCAACTAACTCGGGTTGGTCGCTTGGGTTCAGAACCAGAGTTTTTGTTAAGTATTTTCAGAAGAAGTCTCTCTAAAGTGCGTGTCCTACATCCCTGCTGTCTTAATCCCGATTACCTAACACAGCAGCACTGGTTTCAGCACTGACGGTTTTACGAGCACCTACTGGGCCGTGTCTCAGCCACCATGTGCAATGCAATAGGTGCTGGATGGTGGAGCTGTCCTGGTCTCAGAGTGGTTTGTGCCCTCACAGGTGACCCCAGCCTGCTCCGTTTGTTTTCCTAGTGGTGCTTGTCTGCCTTCTTGTTG